TCTCTTATTTCTATGGCAAAGGTCAATTGATGAAGCACTTATTAATGTAAAATGAATTTCTATGTCCGTTGGAGATTAATAGTTCAAATGTGATTATCGTTCATGTATTCGTAAACATTTTTATAACCTTTATGAAATAAAAATGTTAAGAGATCTTATACAAGATTCTGTCATCTAATGGACACTAATATAATAATTTTAGATTGAAAATAATGTGATTACCGTTCATGCATTAATAACATATTTGTAATCTATCCAATAATAGTACATTTTAGTAAATTTTAATGTGAACATTTCAATATAGTGAAAATTTCACAAGTTGAAATCATGAGTGAATTGAAGCTAGACCACCATGGAAAACCTGGAAGCACTGGACGGCCGTTGCGTCCTGGTATGGGACTCCTCAGCAGTGCGCATCCACGAACCCGCACCTCGCGCGATTCGAACCCAGCGCCTACTGGTTTCGCGCGCGAGCACTCAACCATTAGACCACTGAGCAGACATTCAACTGTGTTAATGTTTAACTTCAACCAATCCACGAAGTTGCGCCATCGTACACCATTGTCTTCAGTGAGTGCTCGCGCGCGAAACCAGTAGGTCCTGGGTTTGAGTCCCGCGAGGTGCGGGGTTGCGGGTGCCCACTGTTGAGGAGTCTCATACCAGGACGAAACGACCGTCCAGTGCTTCCAGGTTTTCCATGGTGATCTAGCTTCAATTGACTCATTATTTCAACTTGTGAAATTTCTAAAAATCTCCACAAAACACATTCTGATAATGGTGAAAATTGTCATTTTGTCGTATGGTCAATGAAAATATGGGATTTGATTTATTTGGTGAATATAATAAGATGATTACAATGATCGATGTGATTCAAGGTCATAGAGATGTAAACACAATGAGAATATAGAACAAGCTGAAACCAGATGATTAAAGGTCATGTAGGTGTAAATAGAAATAAGAATATTATCTGTTTCATGAATACAAAAATAAGAATTTTATATTAAACGAACCTTGAAACCAGAACTATGCGTACGTATGAAGTACGTCTGATAGTTACCTTGACCTTCATTATTATTCATAAATACTGATTATATCACCGTATTTATTTTTACACCTCTATAACAATTACTGCTACAATAACATTTTAAATCGTCATTGATGCTGTAGACCTTATTCATAGTTAAACGTATAATGTCGATTGATATTTATTGATTCCGACGATGTAGGCTTGTTCATTTACACTTAATACAACCAATATTTCAAATGCTTGTCAAAAATGGTTATATTCGTAATGTATAGATATTTCAGATTGCATATTACGGAGAACAATATTCACACATGGCGTAAAATGTACATGCCGGTTTTCATTGTTCCTCCATCAGGTTTCTTAAATATAATCGATGATTTCCAAATATCATTCCATACCTCATATATAATAAGTAACGCTTGCAATGTCATTGACATATAACATTTACTAATTCATGTAAAAATTTAGCTTGATTGGACGCGTACAATATATTTGCTATCGACATTACTTGAAGAAAAACCTCACGCCAACTTCCCAAGTCCAATAACGGATTGACATGAGTGCTTAACACACACAAGTTTTTATTGTCATAATTATAAACTGAAGAACTACAAAGAATGTACAGGTAAAAACAATAAATCCTTTCAATGGATTAGCAAAATAACCCTATTGAAATCTAACGTTTTCTAATGGAAACCGTTTATAAAGCGACAGTAAACAACTATTTCGTATTAAGAATGACTATTTATAAAATAACCCATTAATAAATATTATGTGCCTATTTCTAAAAAAAATTATTACTTCTTTGATATACCGGCAAAGTCGCTTCATTAACCGATCGTTTACGGTTCCTTCGCGTGATTTATACATGTCGTTATCTATATTTTACCATGATGATTTCGATAATGCAATGAGAAGACGAAGTTTATCAGAATTATGTGATGTATTTGCGCAATACATTTCGAACAATCTGATCACACATATACTTGTTAACAACATTTATATATGAAAATTAAAAGGTCAGCTAGACAGGTTAAGGGTAAGTTATAACAAACGAAAAATGATAAAGTACACAAAAACAAATGTGATTACCACTCTGGATAATAAATCAGTATTACCAGGGTAGGTTAAGTGTAAGGACAAATTGTTTTTGAACACATAAAAGGGGTTTTAATTTCCGTATAGCCAAGGCTTTAATAAACCTTAGTATACGTCCTTGAAGGCTTTTGTATAACACTACAAATGCTGATTTGATATCAACCTTATGACCCGCCTCAATCAAATGTTTCTCAATGGAGGATGATGTTTGTCTATCCTGTGACCTTATTTGACTATTGGAATTCATTTGATTCTACAACCATTTTGGTGATGATTTATTGGTATGTTGATTTTTTTTCCAATTAACATATCATGTCACAAGTTGAAATCATGAGTCATTTGAAGCTAGACCACCATTGAAAACCTGAAAGCACTGGACGGCCGTTTCGTCCTGGTATGGGACTCCTCCGCAGTGCGCATCCACGATCCCGCACCTCGCGGTATTCGAACACAGGACCTACTGGCTTCGCGCGCGAGCACTTAACCACTAGACAACTGAGCCGGCATCCAACGGTGTTAATGTCTAACTTCAACCAATCTACGAAGTTGCGCCACCGTACACCATTGTCTTCAGTGAGTTGTTATCTCACAACAGACCGGTTGAACTCCACTGGTAACGGCTTCTCACTAGAACTCCAGGAGTTTTTCCTGAAGTCAGTCACTAGTGAGCAGTGGATTATTATCAGAATGGGTTTTGTGGAGAGTTTAAGAAATTTCACAAGTTGAAATCATGAGTCAGTTGAAGCTAGACCACCATTGAAAACCTGGAAGCACTGGACGGCCGTTTTGTCCTGGTATGGGACTCATTCTGATAACATATCATGTGTTAAGAAAAAACTTATGCACACACTTAGGTGATAATTTGTTTATTAATTAGGTATTAAACATTTGACTACCGACTTAATTCCGTAATCACCATTATCAAATATTCAAACCGGTTTTCAGTTCCTTTTTCCCAAAACTTTCTTTTAATGAGATACATTTAATTAACCGTGTCAAGATAACTAACGACTTCAATTCAAGGTATACTTGATCGGAAAACAAAAAATTTATCCCAATACACATTCACTAACAGTAGTATTGCACGGTAGTGAAATTAAGTTGGTGTTTTTTTTCTTCAAAAATCTAAATTTTTTTTGAAGACTCAGATTACACAAAAATAATGATTCATTAGCATTAAATTTCAAATGTAAAAATGCAAATTCTCACATCCAATCAAAACACTTGATGCTATTTCGATTTCAACCAATCAGATTACAAAGATGAACAGTTTACGACCAATTACAACATTATTAAAGGTGACAAAATTTCTGTTAACTATCACTTGAGGACACACTTGCAAAACAAGTACACTAATCACTGATCCCTAAATATTTTTTTCACACCCTAAAATTTATAAGACATGGGTGGTACGGAACCATTAATGTCAACCTCACAAACGACCCCATAAAAGTCAAACATAAAATTGTTTTTTTCCCCAACAATACCATTGTTGGCTTTCACCAATAGTTAGTGAACTTTCCAAAAAGTATAGTATATTAATTCTTGTTCTAAATTTAATGAAAAATACTTTATAATTAATGTTCTCACAACCAAAATAGTTCAAACTGTATAATCTGTAACTAGGGCTCTAGGTGACATGGGTTGAAAAATCTTAGAGAATGTTAAATCCTTTGACGTTCCTACTGAGTCTTGTTGACAAGTGATAACTAGCACGGAATGTATATTATCTAAAGAATGTCATAAATTTCTTTTAATCACCTGATATCAAGTATTATTAAATTTATCAATCAATTTTGAGGATAGCTTCCATGTAATGATATTAGCCAAGCAACCAGAAAAAACCCCAGAAAGAAATGAGTAGCTTTTTCATTCTCATAATTAGCTCTTTGGTAGTATTCATTCACGATCACATCAGGACTAAAATCCAAGAGCTTCAGGCAAGCAAGTTAATTTTAGGCTATTGAGTTACAATCCAATGATCGATATATCAAATTCTTGGCATCAGTGCTTGAAGTCACTAACTTCTAGTCTGAGCCATGTTGGTAGATGCAGACTACTTGGTTGGGGTCCGCGTGACTTTCGTAACCAATGGTTGGAGACTCTTGGTGACATGGCTCAGAATCGGTCACAATGGCGTCGGTGTATACACTCTCTGTCTTCCCTTAAACTAAGAGATTAAAATCACTTCATATCTTTCTTTCTTTCTACTAACTAATTCTTTCTTCCTATACTATATCCTTATTGCAATCTTTCTCCTATATATTACCACCTTTGACCTAACCACTCCTATGAATCCGGTGTTCATCTTGCTGTGCTAACGAGGTATGGCAACCTGGACCGATGCACATATGTGCCTGGTCCTACATTGTAGCTGACTGACTGATATTAAATTCCAGTGATTTCACGATATACAGTGACAATTATAAAATATAATTAATAGGGAACTTTCTCATTCGTTATACCTAAATTTTATTTATTTGCAACTTCTTAACAGTAACTGACTTCAAGATCATTCCTATAGATCAATGTAATCGATTTAGTCAAGCTAAATCAGTCACAAAGTACTACTCCTATGAAGTTTTAAACTAACCAATTTAGTCAGTAATCAAATCAGCAATACCAAAAAGAAATGAATCAAGTTAGAATATACATATATATATATATACTCAATTATAAATTCATTGTATGGTATGAAAAGATCTTCAGAAAACATTACAAAGTTGACAGTGTTACATCCATCAAGAATCTAACTTGTGTTATATTCAACTCTTTATTATTACTATTATTACTTAGATTGATATATAAAATAATCATTCAATTCATTTACCCTATGAAAAATCTATATTTAAAAATTAAATTGTATATATCTTACTCATAAAATTTTGGAGGTGGTACACCCAGAGTACGACTGACATCTTCAATTGTGATTATACCTTTATCATTTGTATCAAAAAGTCTTAACCATCTCTATATTGGGAAAAGAAATGATAAATAAATAAAAAAATATCAGAAGAGGTTTGTGGAGATCTTAGAAATTGTCACAGATTGAAATCATGAGTCAGTTGAAGCTAGACCACCATGGAAGCACTGGAAGGCCCGTGAAGTTCAACTACGTCTGTTGTGAGATATCAACTCACTGAAGACAATGGTGTACGGTGGCGCAACTTCATGGATTGGTTGAAGTTAGACATTAACACCGTTGGACGCCGACTCAGTGGTCTAATGGTTAAGTGCTCTCGCGCGAAGCCAGTAGGTCCTGGGTTGGAATCCTGTGGGGTGCGGGATCGTGGATGCACACTGCTGAGGAGCCCCATATTAGGACGAAACGGCCGTCCAGTGCCTCCAGGTTTTCCATGGTGGTCTAGCTTCAACTGACATTATTTCAATCTGTGAAAATAAAAAAATAGTTAAAGTATAGAACCAAATCTTTATATAAGTAATCAAAAAGTAATATTTGTTATTATGGGTAAATAATCCTATTGAAATATTAAGCTTTTTATTATGAGCTGACATTTGATGTATTCAGTAGACTATTAAGTCCACTGACGATGAGTTTATTATACGGTCAGTAATACTAATGACTCTCAGTTTAACAAAATAATCCTCATTTAAAGTGTTTATAATGATTGGCCTATAATAAGTTCCCCCTATTCAAAATGTCCAGTCAAAACATGAGGACAGAAAGTTGATTTACCACATCTGTTATTATATTACATTACATGTTGACTCAAAAATCATATGATAATGTACAATAATTACATGACCACAACACAACATTGGTGATAGAAACATAAGTCAATTGAAGCTAGACCATCATGGAAAACCTGGAAGCACTGGATGACCATTTCGTCCTATTGTGAGAATTCTCAGTAGTGCGCATCCACGACTTTGCCCCACAAAGTTCGAACTCAGGACATATCAGTCTCACGAGCGAGTGCTCAACCACTAAACCACTGAGCCGGTCGGCATTCAACGGTGTTAATGTCCAACTTCAACCAATCCACGAAAATGAGCGACAAATCAATGTCTTCAGTGAGTTACTATCTCACAACAGACTCGTTTGAACTCCACTGGTCACTGTTTCTCACTAGAACTCCATGAAATACCTCTTGAAGTCAGTCACTAGTGAACGTATGTTGATTAATATCAGAAAACGGTTTGTGGATATTATAGTAATTTTAATAGTTGAGATCATGAGTCAATTGAAGCTACACCACAATGGAAGGCCTGGAAGCATTAACATTTTCCTCTCAACCATTGAAACTACTATAATATCCACAAAACCCTTCTGATAAAAACATTGTCTGTACATAACTAGACTATTTGTGTTACGAAACCAAATATCAGATACGTAATCAGTTAATTGTAACTTATGAACATTAAGGGATACATCAACATTTAATTACTTACAATCAGGGCAATGTACAAATAATGCAAACCGTAAATATTTAATAAATTCACAGTGAATATATATATTAATCCACTTAGGGTACTTCTAAAAATTTCACAGTTTCCCTTCAACATCCCTATCTGGCACCTTCAATTAAGCAATGTCATCTAGGTTTTCTAATCGCATGTTCCGGTCAAAGGAATGTGATGTAATCATTTTGATTTGACAGCAGATATTGGATTTCTTATCGATTGTTATTAAGTAATTAATCAATGAAAACATTCAACAGTTTGTTTGAAAAACAGTTTTCTATAATTGGACGAGATACTTCTTATTGAATTTAGTGCCAGCTACTTTGTTATATTTCAAGACTTGTCAATAATAATGTTCAGCCATATACGAAGTTAAAGGATATTTATGTTTAGCATTTAACAGACTGATATGTAGTGATTAGGTCGATAGGTAACTTCCTCCAATTTAGTACAGAACAATATCGTTATTCTGACAGAAAATAATCTGGGATATTTTAGCAATGCAATTATGTATTTGATGGTTCTCATTTTATGTGCACATCAATGATTCAAAAACAATTTAAGCCTTCAACTTGTACTTTTATTTTTACTTCATATAAAGACAAATTAACACATAATATCAACTATTAATAACTCAAGCTTACACATACATACACACAATCGTTCACTCATTTATTTTCACATTGTGAACTTTTCACATAATTCGGATATATAATGAACGAATCAATGTTAAACCACCAATGAAAGCCTGGAAGCACTGGGCATCCGTTTCGTCTTAGTGCATCCACGATTCCACACACAAGATTCAAACCCAGGTCCATCTGTCTCGCGCGTGAACACTTAATCTCAAGACTACTGAGCCGGCATCCAACAGTGGACTAACATTCATTCATTCATGATATCAATTTAAACTCAACAATCACCACAACCCTATACTGATTCGTATATAACTAACTCATTTTATCCTACTTAATAAAGTCAACATCTAAATATGATTGGATAAGCACAGTAACGATTTATTTGATTGTTAAACACTATATATTTCTTTGATGATTTTGATTATTACCTTGAAGAAGTCCAGACAAATCTGCTGGACGTAATGTGGGAATTATTTAAATTTCAATCGTTGAAATTATTTCGAATATAATTTTCACAAATAACGTCTTCTATATACTCGGCGCCCTAATTCTTACCAATTATTCGATCAATTGTCGGCACATATTATGTAATGTTTTCTAACTAACACCAATCGATGATAAAAACTAATCTTTAAAGCGATTAATTAACTAGAAAGAACCAAATAATTTAACTAATATATTTGATTGTTCTACTTAACATTATTTGAATTAGGAAAATATGATATGAGGTTAAATAATGAAATAAGTTTTACGTCTCCATGTCAATTGAATTTTACCAGTCAAATAGACCAATGACTAATAGCTCGTAGATGACAATACATGCTCTCATGCATCAGATCAATTTAGAATTCTCACTTTAATTCTGTTTCCATAGTTGTATGGTACAACATTGGACTTTATACTTAAAAGACACCGGATAGTTGATTGCACGAAACTGAATTTGGTCAATTAGTTATATGATGTATAATACTAATTTATCTTATAACAACGCTAAATGGGAAAGATTTGATTTCCCATGAAATTATTAGCTTGATAGAAGTTGAACGTTCACCTTATCAATGTGTGCTAATAATGACTTGATCAACGTTTAAGATACTCTAGTATTTATAATACAAATTGCCTTGCTATACAAACGTATTTATACACCAAACACAGTTGTCCATAAAATATAATGATAGATTGATACTATACTATTTATTAGTAATAATGAAAGCAAACTAAGAAAAAAAACAGATATTCAACATGAGGGCCTGTTATTCTTTCACATATTTGGGTCCGTCAATTATTTTTGTATAACCTTGAGCACTTTTTATATTTCCTCTATTTCTATTATGCCAATAAAAATTGTGTCAATCTACTATATACTGAATCAGTTGATAAATGAATTACAATCCCTTATACCATTGCTTCATCTTTCATTGTATTGACTATTGTTTAATATTAGCATGTCTGGAATACGTGTAACCTAAATCAATTCGTATTTGATAATTATGGTCTACATTGTATCAATGTGTTTGGCTGACAGAATGTATACGAAGGAAACATGATACACATTACATTGTCGCCAATGTTGTTCAGCTAAAAAACAGTCAACTGAAGGGGGGGGGGTACTTAAAGTTTCTCTTGATGTAATTTAATAGTTACTAGTAGGTAGATGAGATTATTTGAACTTGTATTTAAAACTCGAAAAATTAATTATTTTTGTTAGACTGATTTATCAAAAAATCCATAACTTCTAAATGATACTTATTTCAGTAATTTACCTATTTATAAAAGTGAAGGAGTTTTGAAATGATAAAGAAGATTTGAAGCTCAAGTGGTTGCTTCTGATAATATGGTATTCCCAGATATAGAAGGTTGAATTTGGGAGATGCCACATAAATTAGGCACTGATAATGTTACCTAAAATGCTGTTTTATTTAGGCCTTTGTAATACAATAACTATAGATAAATATATATGCAAAGATGGATAGTGGTAAGCAGTGGAATTCAGGACGCGCGTTTCGTCCTACTTAGGACTCGTCAGCTGGATGTACCTGCACCTCAAAGTTGATGTTCACATTCAGCTGACGGATCCCAAATTTCCTTTCAAATACTACTTATTTTCCATAATCAGTATTCGATTCAAGGGTATTCAGTAGAGTGATTACCTATTAGTGAAAATTAGTTTATAAAAGACATTAAATAAAAGAAATATCAATTTTTACGATATTTTCTAGTTACTATAATTTATTCTGTTGTAAATGAGATAAGTCATTGAATAGTGGGAACTATAGCAACTTCTGTTAATTCGTTCCACTCTCGGCACTATTGTGACTTTGGTCTAACTGTAAAAGTCAAATGCATAAATCATTCTTGAACCAAGTCTTGTTACAAAATTATATAAACTGGTCCATAGACTGTATCCTATCAACAGTGTACCTGAACGATTTTTCATATTAGTACATACAAAACTAGTAGAGGAGCAGTGATATCATAAGTGTAGACGAGTGAAGAAAATGGCACTTTCTTACAATAATAACACTCTAGAGAAGCCGTAGTTTATCTTGATATAAATAGAAAACAGTCATTTCAATGTCATCAAATATAAGCTTATATATCTGAAGAGCAGAATGTGGTTCGATACCGTCATCTAGTTTATTGAAAAAGCTAAATTCATGATTGAATGTAAAAAAAATTCTGAATTTATTTAAGGTTGGAATCAATCGATTCACATGAAATCTGGCGATCTAAACAAGTTCCATATTTTCCAAACCAAAAAAAATATATGTAGGAGATTTTGTGTAGATTGTAGATCATAGTTTGTATCATCGACTGATTTTAGTTAGAAATTTAAAAAAAAATCAGGAAATATTGGACATTTGTCCAGTCTTTGTATGTGAACTCATAGCAGTAGATATCTAAGAT